GGAGAGAGAGAGAGATAGACAGAGAGAAGGATAGAGAGAGAGAGAGAGAGAGAGAGAGAGAGAGAGAGACAGAAGTTGTTCTTAGATTTAGATATGTTTTAAGATACTGGCAACCACAAGGACTAGTGTCAGGTACACATGGTTCAAATTTCAGCCTGTTCCCGATGAACCTGATGAAATTTGTGCCGTGGGTGCTGCTGTCAGAACCTTTCCGCCTGGCATGCCTTGATCAACTAATTGAAGGAGCCAGATGGAAAATTCTTAGCCAAATGGCTAACATCCAATCACCTGCTGGCTCCATTAAGGTATTCTGACAGTGGCCACCAGCCGATATCAGAATACAGCTGTTGTAGATTCATGAAATAGTTGTTATATTACTCTCTAACTAAACTTTCATCTTTTGTTAGTAAAGAACTTGTAACTGTAAATTGTAGGCAAGAGGCAGCAAGGAGCTTGCGGTGACTGTTCCAGCATCATAAGTAGTCATGCATATTACCCGATTACCAACCAAATGTAATGGAATAGCCGACAGTACAGCAATGAGCAGGTAGGCTATACTTAATGTAGGCATCTCTGTATTTTATTTCCGATTCTGACTCCATGAGAACATACTGAAATGTGTGGTTCCCCATCATCACACCATATTTCACAGGAAGTGAACCTCTGAAATGTAGCAGCCTTGTCAAGCATCACTAACAAACCTACAAAGTTCTACCTTCCCCTTAAATCAAAATAAATGTTTCTACTAACCACACTAATGAGGCAGCAGCTGTGTGGAGACTTAACAGTTCAACAACAAGCACCATTCTGGGGAAAATAGGTATCTGGCTTCAATTCAAAAATGTTTTACACAAAATAATGTTAATACAGCCAAAAAAGTAATTTCAGCAATGGTCTCTGGAAACTGACCATAATGACTAACTTGCAGAACTTGGATGAAAGTCATGCTAAATATGTCCCAAAAGATGGATGTGATATGCAGAAATTTTTCTCAAACTACAGGCAAAGTTAAAAGAATTAACTTATATTAAATAACAAGTTGGTAAGTTAAATATGAATTGTGTTAGCACAATTATGTATTAGATTATTACCTTTTGATCTCTATTACAAATAATGTTGCCATATAGCCACCAGTTATGCATTATACACCATGTGTGTGTGATGATCCCATGATACCAAAGAAATATGTTGGACTATGTACAACGCTTACAGCTACGTGGCTGAAGGCTTTGTAAAGTCTTTATGGCCTTCTTAAAAAAACTTTCATTTTATTGTGATTCCCAAATGCTGCATTTTTTGTTCTTGGAGTTCAAGCACAATGTATGTATTTCTTTCAGCAATATGTTTTAGATTATCTTATATAATCCAAATAACATATCTAATGGGAAACAATTCCACTCTATCTGCCAGTGCTGCACAGTCATAAATGAATGAGCATTGTACTTACTGGTTTAGATGCAAGGTGGTGAGCTGAGTCACTGATCCTTTATCACACAAGAGATGTATTGTTGATAACTATTTTGTACTGCTTGGCATGGAATACCTTGAGTCTTACAGGGGGAATTTGGGGATATAATGCTCAAAATGGACTGCTTTTTATCGGCAAATGTTTCCAAAAGCCGTCAATGGTACTGCTTTTGTAAAATGCTGTGATTATATGATTCCCAGGTTACAATAGGAAGCCTCCAAGTTTTGTGCCAACGTTAAAATTGTACATTTGTATCCCTTACATAGTAATTTATCTGTTTTTAAAAATTAATGATTGAAATGCAGTAGCCATTCTCTTTTAAAGGGTTTTTTCTGCTACTCATTCTAAAAATAATGAAAGGAAACTCATAATAGTTTTAGGCCAATTTTATTGTACTGTGTAAGTTTTGGTTGATGTTTTATAGCTTTAAAAAATAAATGAACCACCTCCCGTCCATGGCCGTTCCTGAACGGCCGGACAGGAGCCTTATAAGAGCAGGAGGGCGTCTTAAGACGTCCTGCCCCTTCTCCCGCTTGTGCACGGCAACCAGCGCGCACAGGAGTGGGGAAACTGTCAGCAATGTAAACAGCCAGCGATGGCTGTTTACATTCAAGTGATCAGGCGTCTCTAGAGATGCCCAATCACTTGTAATAGCTGCGGGTGTGCACCCCCTATACCTCCGTAGCCGCCGTCTTCTTTGCCGCCGCTGCAGGTCCTGAGATCCGCTGTGCCTGGTGCGGCTGGGACCGACACGGCGATGCTGTCAATGGAGATCAAAGGGAGGTCAGTACACGATTTCCCTTTGATCTCTTCTCGGTCCCCGAATGCAATTTGCATGACTGAATAAACGTCAGTCAAAGTACTGCAGCGCTGAATACTGAAAAATGGCCTGGCCAGGAAGGGGGTTTAGCACCCTCGTCTTCAAGTGGTTAAACAAAAGATTATAATCTATATTATATATAATTGATGTAATATACAAATATGTTTTACAAATAAACATTTAATGCAGGGTACACCATTGGCACAGAATTTCTAGAACACTATGGATTTACTTAACCAAAAGCAAAATAGTGGTTTCCATTCAGGCATACTGTCTCTGACTCAAAATTCAGACGTTACTGACTGATGGGAGTGGAGTAAGTGGGGAGGAGTTATTGCTCAAACCTTTTACTTAAATGCATCCATTTTAGCTTGAGCTATTGAGCTCTGTAAACAGAAGGTTTTTTCCCCAACATGAAGCAAGGAGAAAACTAAAAACTATCAAATGGTGCTGAGAACTCCACCTACTGGCTGTACGCGAAAGTATAAAATATTCATATGAAACATTTCATATTTACTTGCTAAAATATGGGGAATATTTTCAGCCTGACCATTATAAAGAAAGAAAAAGAAAACAATATGCATTCCCTTTAACATGCATAACACCTGTGAGGTGCAGAATCCTGGCTTTACTACTTAGTGAGCCACAGACCCTGAATATGCAGACCATAAAAAAGAAACCTTAGGAGTGCAACTTTCCATTTTCTCTGCATATCAGTTGCCCTAGGCCCTAGAATAACAGAATGGTTCTGCCTCTCTATGGTAACATTCACTATAGACATCTATGTGAAATCTAACTTACATATGCACAGAAACTGGGAACAGAAGCACAAAGGAGATGCATTTTAACATGTAGCTCATACCCTCCACCCAAATTTTTGGTGGAACAGTTCCTTAAAGAGCAATTATTACACTAAAGAAATATCAACATACGTTTCAGAATAACATTCCAGCTAGCAAATCTTGCTGATTCATGCTATTTGGTTAAGGTATTAAATCACAACACCCACTTAAAATAGTTAGAGATGTAACATTAGTCAAGTATAGGAGAGCCAAGAACTAAACGTTATTACATAATTTCTGTACAGGTGCTAAAGACTATGTGCTACACTAAAGAAAGTTTCCACGATAGGCATCACAGGGAAAACTGAATGGAAACCAAATGCTGCTTGATCTGTGGGATGGAACAAACTCTCTTGTACAAGTATTTACAATTGGAACTTTGCCCATAAGATTAACCAAATTTGGCTTACCTTGACAGAAAAATCTGCAGAAAGAGGACCAGCAATCCTGAGGATTTCTTTATCAGGAAATCTTTGGAAGTCAACCGTAGTGTTGTCCACAAGAAAAGATCCAGTGTTGCTGAGACTGTTTTCACCCTTTAGCCCTTGCAATGTTTTTGTTTCCAGGTCTGTAAGAGTATAAATTGCAATGAACCTCCAAAGTATATATAGCTGTATTTTCAGTCGTGTATTATTGCTCAAAATATACAACACAGCAACCTAATTATGTGTGTCAGTCATGAGCACTTTTAAGGTTAAACAGTACAAAGAGAAACTGTAATGTGCAATATCCAACCAATTGGAATCATTTAACTGTGGTGTTTCAGGAAAACAAAAAGCTGATTTGATGATTGTTTACTACTCTGTCCATTACTAGAATAACTGCGCTTATAAACCCATTCATCTTAAGTTGAAGAAAGCAATCAACTTTTAAAAGCTTAGAGTTTCTGGACATAGCAAGACATGAGCGTAGGTGTTAAAGCAAAATGTGATAACACAGCTTTAGGAATCCGTTTATTCACTCAGTAAAGGTAATGTCATGGTTTACGTAGACTTTGTAAGTTTTACGTTTCTTGTTCAAACATATAACACACTTACTATGTGTGGGATACACACAATTGCAAAATTAAACCTTTGAAGACAGTGACCTTTGTTGTGGGAGATTTAAGCTAGCCATACACTGTTAGATTTTCATCCAATTTACAGGCAGTTCATGGCCTCAGGATTAGGGTTAGTGGCCCTGGTGGCCCTGTCTGCTGGACAAAAGTTGATTACTCAATCGATTTTTGTCCATGGATCCGGGCAGAAAAATTTCCCTTTTCTGTATTCTGAGAGCAGTAGACACTGGCTGTTAGAATACAATAGCCCGGCAGGAGGGACTCCTCCACCTATGCTCTTAAGCTTGGATGGAGGAATCTGTTGGATTTCTTTCTGCGGGCTAAACAAAAGAAATCTATTAGTGAATGGCCAGCATTAATCAATTACAATAATTATGACATAATCCCCTCTACTCGACAGAAATGAAATAAAGATATATGCAGTAACTCTTTATAGGAATCTTAAAGGGAGTATGTTTTATATGAACTGTACAATCAATGTGCATACTGGCTGAAAAAAAATATCCAAGAGCCTGTTTTTTTGGAAATGAAAAATCTTAGCTCAGAATTTCTGGGTAATTTAAGGTGACACCAAACTCTAAACTCTAAACATTAAACTCAGGAGTTAAATCTAAAAAATGCATTCAAGTGCATTAACTATTATTAAAAATGTATCTTATTTGTGTATAACTCGGCTGTAGATCCTCAAATCATCTCTGAATTGGTGCTGACACTGTCCTTCCTTCTGGAGGGTGGCTACTTTTGTTCCCCATGGTCCCTGTGTATGTTATAAAGTAGCCACCACTCCAAGCTCACACCTGTGATAGACTTTAATCTCAATACAAATTTGTAAACTAAATGTGAGAGTTAGTGATGGACTCAATGTTCGAGCCGAACGTGAGTTTGACTCGAACATCGCTAGTTCGTGTGTTCGCCTTCTGAAGCCATAATTGGCTAAAGCCTTGAACCTGACCTGTGGATTCATGTCCCCCAGGGCAGTAGCCCAATCCCCATACACTTTTTATGATCAATAAATTGCATATAAGCCTTCAAAATGGGGACATTTGATTTTCAAAGTTCTACCCCCATAGCCTTGCATTGAGTTTGAGTTCGTGTGTTCAGCAATATTCGAGTTGAATTCACGTTCCACTTGAACATCAAGCCCAACCCTAGTGGCTAGATTCTGCTGCAGTTGAAAGCAATAGGAAAAAGAGATTTCAGTACTTCTGTTGTGGACTTTGAAGATACATTTCTTCACAATGCCTATAGTTACAAAGGCCACAGTAATAAGAGCTTGTTTTACATTGCTTTTGCTTCTTGTAAGGGTGGGTCCTACTGACGGCGTTCCTGTGAGCCACCGGTAGTTTGTGGAGGAAACTATTCCATTGCCAGCTGGATTAAGAGATTTTGATATGCGAGTTTGCTATATTTTTTAAGCCAATAAATTGTTTTACTGCAGAATGAGCGATTTCTTCATGTTGTTGGAGTGCTCCCATCTGTCTATTGAGAACTCGTGATTTACTACCGTTACTGGGAAGATCGTGGGTGATTACTCCATACTGGGAAGCTCTGATTGTTTGCTGATCTAGTCAAACATTTCTGGTAAGTGTTTGACTATGGGGGTTGGTGGATAAGGAGCACGAATATCTTGCACGGACACTTACGTCTTACCTTTGGGACTTTGTAATACATTTCACCTATTTGGTTTTAGGCCCTTGGATTTGGCGTTTTAGCAAATATGAAATTGCACTATTGATTTTGTATTTTTGTTTAATTTTTAGCGCTGTGTGTTGTATATTCACTTGTCTTTTATATCTGCCTGGAGTTTAACTTTAATGAGTAATGCTTTGCATAGCAAATTGATAAACCTATATTTTCTTCTAACCACCAGACGCATTTGGAGATATTTCTATTCTATTTCATATAATATACTGTAAGTATATCTGTTAGTACGTCTTTCACTACTAACATCTGTGCAGCTCTATCTATGGAATGCTAAGGCTCATAGTTTGAGGTTGCATCTAGTCTCCAAAAATTTGGCTATTCAACTGTATTTTTCTGAATCAGCAGATTTTTCTAACAACTAAAGAAAAGCAGATGTTTTCAACCAGGCTGATTTCTAGAACTTTACCAAAAGAAATATTGTGCTACTGGAGCTAGCAAGCAATCAAGTGTGATTTCATGTTCTAGCCTGGAACAGAAAAGTGACAGCAGGATCTGACTGCTTTCTTCAGACAAACCCTACACTCATTTTGTTCTTCAGTTTTTATATAAGTCTAATGACTTTTTAGCATAGTGATTTGTATCTGTATTAAGGCCCCATTCACACTGAGCGATTTATCGAGCGATTTTTGCAGCGATATCGCTCATATTTCCATGCGATATCACTCTATGTAGCTTCTCCAATTCATTTAAATGGAGCTGTTCACATCTCGTCGCTCAATATTGCTCAATATCGCTTGTAGCTCCTACATGACCCTTTTTTCGAGCGATTTTGCTCCTGATTGCATACAGCCCAATAGGAAAAAGTCGCTCAATATCGCAAGTCCCTCAATATCGCTCAATATCGCTCGTCGCTCAGTGTGAATGGGGCCTTAATGGGCATTACCTTGTAAATAACTTAACAAGCAGGCATTGATAACAATGATTTATTATCAATGTTCTCCAAACAGCTTTATTGAATATACTCATTTGAACCTTTCACTCTAACCAAAGTTTTATTTTTAAATGTATTTTTAACTTTGCATGGGAAAGGGTTCGAAACTCTGTATTGGGGTCTGTGCCCCTGGTGAGATGTCATCTAACTTTTTGTTCTACAGGTAACTTAAACAGAAAATAAGAGGCAATCTGAAACAGTGTGGATCGGTTCGAAGGACCTCATTAAGGTTTTCATTGCTATCTGTTTGCTGCTTTCTTTGAGGTGACACCTTTTGTGCTGGAGTGTGACAGTGTGAGTATTACTATGACATATATTGAATGGAAACATCAGTTTCTAACCATTCAGTACTATACCCAAAGCTAAAGAAAAGTTAGGATTTCTGAAAAATATATACATTTATGATTACATGTTTTTTCTACATTTTTTTCATAATTATTCTTAAAGCAGAACTTGGTCCACCAATTTAATGTCTCCCAAGACAGTTAGGGTTAGGGCATGCCAACTGTCAAGGTTGCTAGTGTGTTTATTTCAGCTCTCAACCAAGCCTTCAAATGGCTGGTGTCATAGCTGATCACGTGTGCAACACCATGGAAACTGCAATCCAAACAGAGGCGAAGATGGCACTTTCCTTGGCTGTAAAGGATAGGAGGGTATAGTTCTGCTTTAATTCCACCACAGCTATAACTTTGTATCATTTGTTCACTTTCATTCATAATGCTTAGTTAGCTATTCAGTGCTATTTGTTATATAGAGGTTTCATGAACCCTGAATTTTTCCTTGCAGCTATCTGACAGAATCAAGTGATTACAAGGTGCTAATCTCTCCAAAATGTTCTGTTTCAGAACACCAAATGAAAATGAATGCATAAATCAAACAGCTGCCATTAGCAGATACACTTAACTTAAGTTTTATACAGTGCCAAAAAGACTCAGGCAGTTTTGGGGGAGAAAATCACCAGTCACTACCTCCCTCCCTTCTGTCATTTAGCTCATTTTATGACTGAATTCAGTAGGACAGATTTGCCTAGTGAAAGTCCATTTAGCCATGCATTTTTTTTCCTCTGCAAGTAATTATGTTAAAAAAGTAAACACAGAAACGTTTTCAGCAAAATATTGTCACCAAGCAGCACTCTGATGAAGTACCGTACAGGGCTAACTTCCATATGGTGTGCAGCCCCCTGAGGGTTAGAATTTCCTGTTTCTACAAGTCATTTCCTTCCTGCTTGAAATTTGGCAGAAAAGGTAACACTAACATCAGTTATGTGGAGAAAAGGTTTTTTTGTCTTTTCCAGTTTTGGTTTGTCCTCCTGTAGTTTACTCTTATGGAATGGGTATTACAGAGTGCTGAGTGAATAGTTTCTTGTATCTGCAGTTATAATTACATAATTACTTCCTCCGGCATTAATAAGGTAAGAGTATCTTGTGACTCAGTGGTATACTGAGAGTTTAACTTTATGCTGAAAATGGAAATGTTAAGAATTTGTTACTATTGTGACTGTAAAAACCTATGATATAGTATGATCTACTTTACTGATATTCTAATATATAAAAAAGTGCATTTAAACCCAAACATTTAATATACAGCAGCTTGTGGCTGTATTAGTTTTCTTTTATCATGATGTTTTAATTTTTTGCACCTCCTTTACTCTATGATCCCTCACTGTACTGGTTTGACCTCCTCCTCTATATAATAAAGATGAGGAGAGGAAGATGTGTTTGTAGTCCAAATCAGGAGAGCAGACAAGGGTGGAACAGCATTATCACCCTAGGCTGCTCTCCTGATTTGGACTACAAACACATATTCCTCTCCTTGTCTTTATTACATAGGGAGGACGTCATTCCCAAAAACAGCAACTGGCAATGTTCACCTAGCACTTCTTTATTTGTCAAATTCAGTAAGCTCCAAGCTTGTGATACCCACCCAAGCGCATATCACCCAATCGAGCATATTCATAGGGTGGAATTTTTCAAAACTGGAGTAGTCAAAATCTGGAGCAGATTTGCACTGCAACCAATCAGCTTCTATCTCACATTTTCAAATCTCAACTGAGCCAACTACAGAAAGATGATGATTGGTTGACATGGGCAACTGCTTCATTTTCTGTCTGCTCCAGTTTTTATAAATTCCCCCCATAGAGTTTACGACACATGAAACTTGTTAGAGGTGAGCGACCATCAGGAGGGGATCACAAGCTTGGAGTTGACTGGATTTTACAAATAAAGAAGCACTGGGTGAAGATTGGCAGTGTGCGTCTGTTTTTTGGATTGGCTTTGTTGTGGAGTATAGACGGCTCTCTGTCCAGCACCTGTGACGAACCCATGTGGAGGTCTCTCTTTGTATTTAAACATATGGAGGAAGTTAGTTTAGTTCACAGATGATAGCTTTAAAAACTAATAAAACACAGGTAGTTACAAGGATACTGTGAATCTTGGCAAGATCAACAGATATTTTTCTGTACTTTCAGAAAATGTTCTTAGTGTTATAAAAGGGAACTAATGCAGTTATCACATCTAAGGACTGGTTAGCTGAAACATATTATATTTTTGTTCTTGCAATTAGTTATCCTTTACTACTAAGATAATCATGTCATGGTTGAAGCAAGCCGAAGGATCGGCCAAAGCTACGGCCAGATCCTTCGGCAGCTTCGTGAATAGACCCCTTAGTATTCCTCGAGAATGGGAAAAATGACAAGTGGAGGTTTTGCCCATAACAACCATTCAGTTTTTCTTTTTCTGGTTTAGAAAAGAAGATTTACCTTGTATATTTAACAGTTTTTCGGCAACTCCATGCAATGCAGTAAAACGTTATTAGCTTTACTGCATTGTTCAACACGCTGTTCCCACATCTCCCAACCTGAATGCTGATGCACAGGGTAATACAGGAGGCAAGCACAACTAAGATACTATTTAAAAGACATTTAAATAAACAAACAGTACTTAGTAGACAAAGGGGGTTATTCACAATAGGGTGAAGAGTTTGGAGAAGACAGGAGAAGTGAACAATCTAAAACAAAAAAGCTGATTTAGAAAAATTCTCCAATTCTGCTCACTTTTCAGTCCAGCTTTGTTGGCCCAGATTGTTCACTTCTCCTGCCTTCTCCAAACTCTTCACCCTTTAGTTAATAACCCCCTAAATGTTGAATTTTAAGTGTGCATACTTACACTGAAGCTAAACTAAAGCTGAACTATGGTCAGCTGAAAGCAAAAAATGAATAATGTCTCCCTAACCCTATTCCTAAGCAAGATCTGATTATTTTAATTTGTGGTCCAGCAAAAGCTGGTGTCTCATTACTCCAATCTTCAGTGATGGAATGTTGCCAGGTACATCTAGCAGTGCCTACATCCCATCCTGATAACATGGACGTCAGTCCTGCACTGAAGGCATGATGCCGTCAATGACAGGTGCAGCACCAAGACCCTATCAGACCCGCCATTACAGCTGGAAAATAGTGGGAGGGAAGATTAAGGTATTACTGCGTTAGAAAAGTTATATTAAAAGGTTGTATTTTGAAAGGTGTATTGGTGATTTTATACTAAACATAATTACTGTATATAATCACTTCATACAATATTAGAGGTAAAGATTTGAGTTAAGCTTTATTCACACAAGCAAGGTCAGTGCTATTTTTTAACTTAGTTTGAAGAGATTCTGGTAGCGTAAATAATTAAAGTGACATTAAAGTCAATTTTTTCCCCTCCCCCCATTGTTAATTAAATCACTTACCTTAAATGATGTCTCTTAATCCGATCTTCCTCTTCTTTCCATCTGTCCCTCCAGCGCTGCGGCGGGTGTCAGATCCAGCGCTGACTACTCTGTCCTTGCTGGCACTTCCTGTCCTACGGTGTCTGCATGCAGGTGCCCGCGTCCATAGACTTACCATGCGTCCCTCCCTGTTTCGCCCCAAGATGCTTTGCGGCCGCCAGAGCAGTTTCGTATTTTCGGACGGGAGCGCGCGGCGAAGACAGGGGTAAGTTTAAACCGATTTAAAAAAAGACTTTTTGCATATATCTACTGCTTGCTACAGTAGATACCAGAATATTTTCAGATAGGAAAGCATTATACTGTGCAATGATGCATATGGCTGGCTGGCCGGCCATGCCTTAATTAATAAATTCAGCACCCCCTCAGTTCTCCTGAACCAAAGAGGTCCTGGGGCCGAAGCTAGCCGAAGGATCGGCCAAAGCTACGGCCAGATCCTTCGGCAGCTTTGTGAATAGACCCCATAGTGTTTTCACATTGGTATAGGTTTATATTGGTGTGTGTATTTTTAAGGTTTATTCAATAAATATTTGCTATTTTAGTACTGTTTTGCTGTGTGTGCCATGATGACTGAAAAACTTTTGTATTCCTATTTCTAGTTTCATATTTTTCCATTTCCAGTTTAAAACTGAAATCAGCTGCTAACACCTACATTTTAACCTTTTCTGGTTCTCCTTTTATAGAATGCTTGTGTAGTTATTCTTCATGAGAAGTGCTAAAGAACTCTGATGGCTTTCCATTCCAGTGAAATGAGGCTTCTGTAATTGGTAATGTTGGTAAGAAAAGGTTATCTCACTTATTAAAGGTAAATTTACTTACGCAAATGATCAGGTCCTTTCAGCACCAATCGTATATGTCTACTGCCATATGGAATAACAACCACTGTATCATCCACTAGAAAAAAAAAATCAGACAACATTTTAGAATATTATTCTTTTTAGAAAATATGCGAACATATTAATATACAAGTATTCACTTTTAGTAATAGCATGTCAAACATTGTTAATTTCATCCCACTATAGCAAATAATGCACTTCACATTATTACAAAAATTGTGTTATTTACAATTTTTATCTTACAAAAAAAATAAAAAAATAAGGTTGCATACACTCAAGCAGTCTAGAATTCCTATTAAGAGGCCCTTTGTTAGGCACCCATGTGTATGCATTCTAGGATTGTTTGCAACCATAGAATATGCTTTTCTTATCACCTTTCTGTATTGAGATGTTAAAGCTAACAAGAGATACCCATGTGTATGAGCACTAAGATTGTTGCCACTCATAGAAAATGTTTTCTCTGCACCCTTCTGTATTGAGATATAAAGACTTCCTTGAAGCACTCATATGTATGAGTTCAGATATTATTCCCTGATAGCAAATACTTTTTTCAGCAACCTTTTGTATTGAGACATTCATGCTCCCTAGAGGCACCTATGTGTATGAGCTCTATAATTGTTTACAACCATTAAATATTGTTTTATTCTGTACCTTCTGTAATGACATGTCCAGGCTCCCTAGAGCACCCCTGTGCATGTGCTCTACAGTTTGTTTCCACCCATAGAATATACTTTCCTCACCACCCATAGGTATGGAGATGCTTGGGCTGCCTAGAGGCACCCATGTGTATTACGTCTGAGACTGTTTCCACCTATAGCAAATGCTTTGATCAGCACCCTTCTGTATTTAGACTTATAGGTTCCCTAGGGGCACTCATATGTATGAGCTCTAAGAGTGTACCCCACCCATAGAAAATTATTTCCTTGCCATCACCCTTCTGTATTAAGCCATTTAGGCTTCCTAGACACACCTACTGAAAATGCTTTCTTTAGAACACTTCTGTACTGGGGCATTCAGGCTCCCTAGGGGCATTCATGTGAATGAGCTCTAAGATGGTTCCCACTAAAAGCAAATGCTTTCCTCAACACCTTTATGTACTGAGACATTTAGGTTTCCTAGACTGTTTCCACCTATATGAATTAAGTAGCAGCCCTGATGACTTCACCATACTTTGACACAGAGACAGGTAAAAAAAAGAAAAGTAGCACGTAGGGGATTCTGATGCAGGAATACCACAGCTCACAATCTACAAAGCGGGACTACAGAAGTACTTTTTTAGACATAGCCTCTTTCCATTATCCTCTGCTTGCAATGACATTAGTTATTGAGTTGTTGGGTTCAGTTCTACTGAGCGTCACCCTTCATAAAAGATCTTGGCAATGGCAGTTACCTTAGTTGTGTTTTGTAAAATTTTCTTTAAGCTATCTTAAAGAAGAGTTGCGGGAATTGAAAGAAACATACCTTGCAGTGGGGTATACCCAAACTGCAAGGGTTAAGCGCTTGTTTTGTCTAGGGGGCAGAAATAATTAAGACATTCACACAATCCTCAGTCCCACCTGGCTCCCAGACCGTTCCCCAGAGCCTCTTCTCCCCCAGGCTCCGGTGGTCTAAGGACTTGTGAGGTTTTTATATCTAATACATGTCCATTAGGCGTAAGGACACTCAGCCCTCGTTCACACCTGAACGTTTTGTAGCGTGTTCTACGCTCGACGAACGCTCTACAAAACGCTCAAACATCTAAATCCCATTGTATTCAATGGGTCTGGTTCACACCTTGGCGTATTTCAGCCCGTCCCTAACGCGCTACAAAACGGCCCACGCCTGAAAAGGTACATGTACTACTTTGGGCCGTTTTTGTTACACGTTTTCATTGGGATACAGCCAAGTAGCTCCCGGAAATGCGCGTTTGTTGAATCGCGGTAAAAAAAACGTGCGACAGACGCGCATATGCAATACGCCTAGGTGTGAACCAGGGCTCAGGGACATACCACAGGCAGAATGGAGGGGAAGAGAGGTGCCAAAGGACCAAGGATTGGGTGAGTATTTCTTCTTTATTCTACCCACACTGCAAGGGTTAAGGGCTCGTTTTGTCTAGGAGGCTCAACAAAGCAGATATACTCACCAGATCCTCGGTCTTATGGCGGTCAGTGCTCACTTCTCCCTCCCCTGCTATGCCTGTGGAATGTCCCTCAGCGTCCTCACATCTAATGCTAGTCAATTAACCTGCATTCAATGTGATGATCCCAGTGGTATTTAGACCACCAGAGCCTAAGGGAGAAGGGGCTTTGGGAACCAGTTTAGCAGCCCAGTGGGATCAGGTGAGTTTATCTGGTTTATTTGGACCCCTAGACAAAGCAAGCGCTTAAAGTGACATTAAAGTCAAAAAATGTTTTCCCTTCCCCAATGTTAATGTCAGCACTTACCTGAAATGATGTCTCTTAATCCAATCTTCCTCTTCTTTCCTGTCCTTTTCAGCCTTCTCTCCAGCGCTGCGGCGGGTGTCCAATCCAGCGCTGACTCCTCTGTCCTTGCTGGCACTTCCTGTCTCGCGGTGTCTGCATGCGGTTGCACGCGTCCATAGACTTACCTTGCGTCTCTCCTCGTCTCCCGGCCGAAAATCCGAACTGCGCATGCGCCCACCCCAAAATGCTTTGCGGCCGCCCAAGCAGTTTCGGATTTTCGGGCGGGATCGTGCGCCAAAGACGGGGTAAGTTTAAACAGCTGTTAAAGTGTTTTTGTTTTGTTTTTAAACTTTTTGCACATATCTACTGCTTGCTAGCAGTAGATGTATGCAAAACAAACGGAGGCTTTAGAAACCCTTTAACCCTTGCAGTGTGGGGGTAGCCCCACTGCAACAATAAGCTTTTTAAATTCCCCAAGTTCTTCTTTAAATTGGCTGCTGATAAAAGATGACAAAATGTGACAGTTGAATGCAAATTATAGTTTTTTATGTAAATAGCAACAGACTGAATTGTGGAAATGATTTTTGCAGTGTGGAATAATATAGTTAAATAATGGGTTTGAAGTGCAAAGAATATGTAGAAGAATATCCAATAATAACAGTGATTAACATTTAAAATAACATTTTCGCCCACTGATAACACATATCATCACATTACATGCCTCCCACCTGTCCATACACCAGTAGTTACAATTCAGTTATCAACTACAAAATAACTTTATAAAAAATAGTTTTATTAAAAATGGGTGTTTCGTTGCCCACATCTGGCCATTATATTTTAAATCAGGGTTTAGAGAAATTGGTGTCAGTTTGCAAAATGTTTGGATACAGGTAGTGGACTAGCTCTATGGGTATAGTCAGTATGGAGCAGCCAATGGCCTAGCTCTGTATGTTAAAGCAGTAGGGAGCAGATAGTGTGTTTGTTCTGTGGGTTTAGGACGCAGGGAGCAGGCAGTGGCCTAGCTCTTCACATTTACACATTAAGGAGTAGGTAGTGGCCTTGCTTTATACATTTAGGCAGTAGGGAGCAGGTAGTGGCTTTGCTCTGTGGATTTAGGCAACAGGCAGCAATTTGCAGGTAGTGGCCTAGCTCTATACATTTAGGCAGGAGGGAGCAGGTAGTCACAGTGATCTGTATGTTTAGGCAGTAGGGAGAAGGCAGAGGTTTAGCACTGTTTTTAAATTAATTTAGAGACACCAATAGTTTTTATTGTGCCTGGCTTGATGTTGAGCCAAAGCTATTTTGCTATGGATTGCAGCATGATAATGTCACTTATGACTGTGTCTTTTCTTACGTGACTCATTAGCTGTTGCCTTTATTCCTGCACATGGAAGATTCTAATGTGTTTTAATGAGAAGTAATTTGGTAACTACTAATTATGAATGTAGGGCATGCACCTACCCAGACTTAAGGGCCTTGTAACAGCTGTACTCACTTCTACTGCATTTTATCTATGCACATCCACTACATATGTATCCTGAAAGGGTACCACATGGTACACAGCTTCATTCAGAGACTTTCCCGTGTACCATGTCATTTAAATCCTACAGCCTACTCCTTTGACACAAACAAGGATGTGGTTAAGACTCAAAAAAAAAGTTTTTATTTTATTTTACTTTGCTGAAATGTAAAGATATATTGTGATCACATGAGGAAATAACATAATTAAAAACACCTTTCAAGAAAATGTTCTGACACTGAAAGGTCAAGAGTCTTGAAATAACCAATGCTCTTGCTTTCTGAATTAAATTTATATATGCTTTTATTTACAAATCCCCTAAAGAGTTATTCTGCCGTGCAGAGCCATGCAGATTGCAATTTATTTTCCAAGTTCGACATTCTTTTACACTTTCCTCAACGTTTCAGCCCGTGCATTTGTCTTAAATTAGGAAAACATAAAAATATCTGTTCATAAGGTTAACATTAGATGCAATGTGAAAATGAATCAGGCCGTTCACTTCTTCCGGTGTTAGATGAAGTCAAGCTTGAACAGGGAAAAAAATAAAAGCTTAAAAGGTTCCTCTGTCTATGAAGATAGTAAGGATGTTATATTTAGTGCATAAATAATGATCTTATCTGTGGGATCCAATCCAAAACATGTCAGCATTCCTAAAGAAAAGATTCTATTCATGACCATATGGAGCTTGTGAGTCTTTTGATATGGCGTTCCAAACACACTGCTCATACACTTGGCAGTGATGGTGGTGGTCAGCAACTCCTCTTTTAACATCCTTCATTATTTACCTGTGTAATATTTGGGCAACACAATGATTTAAAGATAATTTCACAAAGTTAAAGAGAACACTGTGAACGTGTGACTGCTATATTTGTAGAGATCTCTTCTCTCCTGCTGAATTGTAGTTGCTCGGCCTGTAAAATTCTTTTGAGGGCTCGTGAGGTAACAGTTGTCCATGCTTTTCTATGGCCACAAGCCTACAGATCAGAAACTCACTGGCAGCTAGGTATAAATTCCTTGATATCTAGGCCCCAGCTGTCCATGCACATTTCTATAGGTCTACAGATCATTTTTGTCTGCCATCTTGAGATTTTAAAATGCACTTCCATAGTCTTAAAATGTAAAAAATTTACATTTTTG